CACAGAACTGTGAGAGAGGAGAGCAGAGCGGGCGTCAGCGCCACCGCGAGCCCTGCTGCAGGGACAGGGGCTGCGTGGGGACAAGGCGCGGAGCCAGCAAAGGGGATGGGACCTGCTCCTGCTGCAGCGCATGAGAGCGGAGGGGAGGCGTCCCACAGGCTGCCCCGAGCGGCGCGGGCACGGCAGCCCGGCGAGGGACCCGGCAGCCCGGCGAGGGCACTATGTGGGGCAGGGGGCAGGGTGAGGGACCCTACCTGTTGCAGATGCTGCAGTGATGGGTGCGAGCTGGCTTGGGAGCAATGCATTTTCTGCAGATGGAGACGCCAGTGAGATCGTCCTTGGCCTGCACGTAGGTCAGAAGAGGGTCAGTGTCCCCAAGCCCTGCGCTGGTCCCTGCTTCCAGCACTTTTCTGTCCCCACACTGCTCCCTTCCCCCGTAAGTCTAAGCCAGACCCAAGCAGGGCTGAGGACAATGTCCTGCAGCTACATTATCACTCTGAATCCCAGTGCCACCAGTGTCACCCACCCTGTCCTGGAGGAGGCCTCCCACGAAGATGCCCCCGGGTGCCTGGCTGCTCCCAGCAGTTGTCCACAGCACAAACTGGGGAGCAGCACAGAGCTTCCCCTGCAGCCAGCACCGCTCCTGCTCCTCAGAGAGGCTGCGCTGCCAGCTGGGGCCCAGCCTGGCCTCACCTGCGGGGGGTACCCAGGGGAGGTGGTGATGGCCATGTAGTAGTGGAAGACGATCATGAGGAGGTTCCAGTGGCCGTAGGCGAGGTGCCAGCAGATCCAGGCAGGCGGGTAGGTCTGCAGAATGAGGGGCAGCAGGCAGATGTACACGATGGCCACGACGGAGCTCGTCAGCGCGATCACCAGCACCACGAACACCTGCAGGAAAGGGCAGCGGGTTGCGGGAGCACTGCGACGGGGCAGGCACAGCCACGGGGACGTGAGCTGAAGCACCCAGCGAACACCAGCCCTCGGCACACAACGCGCAGGCGGCCGGCTCGGGCCCCGCGGGGCTGACGTTCACCCCCCCGGGGTACTCACCACCCCGCACCACCGCGTGCCGTGG